AAAGCTTTGGACAATTCATATATCTGTATTTAAGTTTGCAAAAAATAATGAAAAACCAATTCCCAGGTACTGACCCAATTGTAAAAGTTCAACACAAGAATTTATAAAATAATCACTCATGTATATTGAATATTATTCAACAATAAGAAATTCTGCCAAGAAATTCTACCAAGAAATTCCAAGGATTCCTCAAAGATCTCTCCCTCTTCAACCTTTTTTTCTTTGTTTTCGTTTAAATTGAAGAACAGTATAATTGAATTAGGGAAATCAAAGAAACTCCGAAATTCCATATTCTTCTACTCCCTACAACTTCCAGAATCCAAATTCAACAAATACCCACTTGAGTTATCCATCGAATATCATCAAGTTCATCGAAATCCCCAAATTTGTCTTTCCCTCAACACCATTCCCCAATCGACAATCACCCAATCCCACTACCATACCCACAAGATCTTTCTCTTCTCCAACTACATCCTCCTCGGTGCCGCGTCCAGTTGCATCTTCTTGATCCTTTCCCTCCGCTTGAATTAGGGAAATCAAAGGATAGCCATCTTTTTGCCGGCAACTTCTTCGAAATGGTCTTCAGGCCTCCGGTGAAGTGGTTGAGTGGCTATGGTGTCGAAAGGATGGAAGGAGAATTTGCAAGAAAGGGTTCAAATAGGGGAACAAGGGCAAATCAAGGGAAAGGGTTTTGTCAAAGATCTGGAGAATAGAAACAGGGGATGGTTGAAGATGACAGGAGAACAAGGAGAAATCAAAGAAGAAAAGCAAAGAAGAAAAGGGGATGAGGTTATTGGCGTGAGTATGAAGAATTGAAAGAAGGAATTCACGTTAAGGTTTTGTGAAAATCTGGAAAGTGGAAACAGGGGAAAGTTGGAGACGAGCAACATTGGGATTTTATGCTTTTAGCTTGAAACGATGCCGTTTAATAAATCATTCCGACAAAAAATTAGGAGGACCGGCTGAGATCTAGTTTCCTGTATATATATATATATATACTGATATAAATTTCAAAACCTATAATTTAACCTAAACTCATGAAATATAATGCTATTGGACCGTTGCCTTTGTTTCTCCTAGATTTGTGCTTTTAGCTTGATTACTGATTTGTTTTATTTCTATAATAATGATTTCAGCATTCATAGTTTCCTTGTTTGCTTTCTCATTTGATTTTTGCACAGTTTCCTTCTTTGCTTTCATGCCGGATTTCTACAATATTAATACTTGTGACTTTCAATTTTAACAAACAAATTGCCTTGTTCTATTTAAGTAGACTTGTGGGAAAACTTACCAGGGGTAGATGGTCCGTGAATATCACTTTCCAATTAATTATCACCCTTTTAGCTAAGGATGGCAATGGGTCCCCACGGGGTGGGGACCCCCTCCCCATCCCCATCCCCGCCAATGGTGGGTACGGGGATCCCCACGGGGATTTTTGGCAGAGGGTCAAAAATTGCCTCCGTCCCCATCTCCGCGGGGAATAATAGGTCCCCGCGAGTATTCGAAGTCCCAATCAAATAAAACTATCACATATTTTACT